GGCATAAAAAAACTTGATTTTAGTTACAAACCTTGTCTAATTTTGATTGCTGATATCTTTTGTTCATTTACAATACCTGTACTCTTTAAGCATTTCCTACATGCATTAAGCTGATGCCTGCCTGAATATACGGAGATTACGAGCAATTCCAAATCTTGTGATTATTGCCCCTCCAACCAAAGTACTGAACTTGCACTTGTTTTTTTCAGCTCCTACATTTACTAATGAAAAATAACCATGTATTTTGTACTTGCATGTATAACATCACAATCTTTATTCATTGAAAGAAATTTTTTTCTGGTGAAGTAAATACATTAAAATTCCAATTTGGTGCAATTTTCACGTTCCCAACTATTTTGATACAATAAGAGATGATGAAAGAAAGATAAAAACACAACTACTAAATTTCACTGGAAGAGCCGAGTAGAAATTTTACTAAATGGAGACAATTGCTAAAATCTCGACCCTACCTTATAGAAGCTTCCCAAAACACCCAATCTCACAACGCTCTTTTTGTACTCAATAGCAAATGCATCCATTATTGTAATCAAAATTCAAGACAGCATTAGCAAGTTTAACTTGGCCTTCCACATTTCTTGTCTGTTAGTTAGCAACAAATTTGACAGAATATGGCACTTGATCGCCTTAAATATTTATGCATCTTCCACTTTGCATTGCCTGATCTGGATGAAATTTCTTCACTTCGGAGACTTGCCAGATCATCACTGGGTTGCTAGGACAAATGACATTGGTTTTGGCTGAATTGTCAGAAGAGATGTAACCTATGTTGGAAACTGGGTTCAAATCTCTTCATCACCATTTCAAGACAAAAAAAAATATTGAGCAAATCATGTTCGCTACCACTGGATCTAAAATATTATACCCTTGATCTCCATGGTTTGCTACTGGTTGTCACGGTTGACGCTTTCTGTTTTCCTCTTGAATTCCCTGCTGTTCATTTGTTAAAACATGAGAACTTTGATGTCAATTACAAGAGCATCACAAAGTAATGTTGATAAGGAAATGAGAAATAAGAAGAATTATAGAAAAGTATATCTATTTTAAATGAATTTCAAGCTTAATCATAATTCTATTCAAGACATAGCTTCGAGGAGTTAAAAGAGTCACTATGGATTGAGTGTCCCTGGAGTCTGGGGTACAGCTTAGTTGATGAAAACTCAACAGAAAGAGACCTACAAATTGGAAGTCCATGAGCAACTTTGTATCAGCTGCCATTCTTTGAAA